AAACGGCAAAAAGGTACGCAATCTTAGTTTCCCGATTTTAATATGTTATTTCATTTGTTGATCTTTTTGCAAATGTATTCTTGATATGATATGTGTATGTATGATTTCATTTTGCAGAATTTTAGTGAAATGCTAGTCATGACATTTTATTCTTTGATTTCCTAATTACCAATTCATTTGGAGAATTGGCAAGAGTGAATGTAATTAAAATTTCATTAGACCATTTGAAAAGATTGCATGTAATTGAATCGTTAATACATAGGAGTGATTATGAATTTTCATGAATGATTTAAGAAATGATGGGTAATGTTTCATAGTTTATGGATTAACTCTGTTTAGAATGAGTATGACCTAACATTACATGTATACCATATACTAGTTTGTAATATTTAATTGATCACTTAAGTGTATATCTATATGCTAGTTTGTAATATTTAATTGATCACTTAAGTGTATATCTATATGATAGTTTGTAATATTTAATTGGTCGAGTAAACTATTTTAAAATAGTTAGATCTGGAGGTCTAAGCCATATGTAACTTAACAGAGCAAGAAGTCGAGTGGGGGTTACATACGGGTTCATACGGCTGAGTTGAATTTAATTGACCATCCCTAACGTGACCCGAATTAAGGGCAGAACAAGCATCGACCGTTTATGTAAACATAACAGTTAGCTAACAGAATTTACTGCGGCAGAATTTATGCCTTTTGTTTCTGAGCCGAATTAACGTAAAATATAGATCTACTTGGGAATGTGACCTATTGTCTATTGCGAGACATTTTTATTTATTGAAGGAAACAGCTTCCTGGACACGGAATCCCTGAACAATCATAGGACGGGAACACATTCTACGCAGAAATCTAGTCCAGAGACGTTTGTTAAGTCAGAGTTAGACGGACAAGAGTCCAAGACGAAAAGCTAGACAAAGATCGACAAGCAGGGACAAACGGAAGTCTTGATGTCTGCATAAATTAGGTCGTGAAGTCTCTCATCGTTACACTCAAAGGTCTCATCCCATTGGCAATGATGATAGCAATTTAACGTGAAAGTAATTTTATATTTAAAGAGATTTGTATTGTGTTTTATTTGAGTACAAGTTAGTACCTTTCTTTCCTTCTTTGTAGCTAAGTCATTGATTTCTTTTGATTTTAAATTCTGTTTATAATCTGATTAAATTTTATATTTGTTCATTGAAAGGGGGCTCGTAGTGTTTATTTCCTCAATATACTTGTTCAGTGATCTGCTTCCTTCTTTCTATCTATCCACACTGGGTAAATCACACCGCGGAGGTCATTCCCTAGCAACGAACCATAGTGAAAGAGGTTGGTGTGTTTTGCACGCCGCCAATCTGTCACACACTCCCACACCAATTGACAGACACCGCAACTAGTAACTTAATCTCATTATCTACTGACAATACCTACTGTACATCGCACACACCAACTCACAATAACCTGTCTGACTGATCAGCACCAATACACAGCAACCTGTATAAATACCTATTGAGCAAGACTCCTACTGAAATACCGACATTCGGCACATACTGACCAACACCAACTCCTTCCAACAAACCCACCCTCTGATTGAACAACACTCTTATTTCTTAGAGAGAAACAACTACAGATGATAACCCACACATGATATATAACATACAAATTACTGGCCATGGCCCACGTTTGCTCTCAAACACAGTCTAACTTGCATCAAGCTTGCTATCCAACTCACCGACCTACAAACTAGTACTCGTATCTACTGACCAACAACCACACGTACCAAACAATGCACTGTGGTACTGAACAATGCCTACAATCGTTAAGGTAGTGGGTAAGGTATTGAGGATGAGCGCCTAATTTTAGAACGACAAGACTCACTATCACATTTCGAAACTCAAACTTTTATTGAATACAGAGTGAATGGTAAGATTGATGACTAGTGGGGACAATGATGTTATAAAAAATGTAATCAAGGGAGACAACTATTGATAATACGAAAATACACTTGACTAAAAGTAATGCCTAAATTTCCGAAACTGTCATATATTTCAGACTCGAAAAAATCCAAAACTATATATTAAAATATTTGCGGTTAACAATAATTTGAAAACTCCAAAATGGTTATGGACTTTAGCAGAAACTGCATTCAATTCGAAAAATGTGCAATTCAAATTAGACTTAGAATAGTACTAGCATTCTGAAATATTCACACACTTTAAGATTGATTGAAAGAATGTAAACAGTATGACTTGGACAAAGACAAAGACTTGGAAAAAGACTTACACAAAAACTTTCACAAAGGCAAAGACTTGGACAAAGGCAATGGTGAATTTGACAAACTATAGCGGATACTGGCAAGGATTGAAAGCAAAAATTAGAAAATTGTAAATTGTGTAACTTAAACTAAACTAAATAGTGTCTTCAACAAATGTAAGTAGTGTCTTAAACTAATGCAAACAGTATGCTTTAAACTAATGACAATAGTGTGTTTTAAACTAATGTAAATAGTGTCTTAAGCTGATGAAAATAGTGTGTATTAAACTAATGTGAATAGTGTCTTAACCTAATGTAAATAGTGTGTCTTAAACTAATGTAAATAGTGTCTTAAGCTGATGTAAATAGTGTGTCTTAAACTAATGTAAATAGTGTCTTAAACTAATGTAAATAGTGTCTTAAACTAATGTAAATAGTGTCTTACGCTAATGTAAATAGTGTGTCTTAAACTAATGCAAATAGTGTCTTAAACTAATGTAAATAATGCGTTTTAAACTAATGTAAATAGTGTCTTAAGCTAATGTAAATAGTATGTCTTAAACTAATGTAAATAATGCGTTTTAAACTAATGTAAATATTGTCTTAAGCTAATGTAAATAGTATGTCTTAAACTAATGTAAATAATGTGTCCTAATATAATATAAATAGTGTCTTAAACAAAAGTTCTCTTAATCTACTGATCCTTTCACAGACGTTTGTGGATGATAAACATGCAGAAATTATTGCTTCGAAAAAAAGAGATGTCTTTTTAAAATTGCAAAGAAAAGAAAACTTGAAAGGTTGAATTTTTAAAATGCATTTTAAGTAAAATTCTATAATTAAAACATGAACTTTGCCCAATAATAATGAGCTTATAGAAAACTGAAAAATGTCTAATTTTAAGAATACTTTTGTAACTAACAGTGTTTAAACAAAGTTGTACAAATCGTGTAAATAGGTGAAATCGTAAACATTTAGAAATATTTAAATATACTTTTGAAACATAAGATTTTCTTAAAATTAGAGACAAAAGCAAATGGAAACCTATTTTCTTAAGATTTGTAATATAGAGTATTTATTTATATTTGTAGAAAATTATGTACTCCTGAAAAGGTCCACTATGTTTCTAATAAATGCCTGGGTATTGTGCACGTGCCACGTTATGTAATTGCTGCAAATTATGTAGCTGCTTTGGTCGCATCACATTTCGCTGTGGTCATCGTGACACGTGAACATAACCTTTGACGTATGTACTAGGTTCGCAATAATTTGCTCTCTGTGAGGGATGTGAAATGCGGTATTTAGTGACATGGCTGGACTTGAATTTAAGTGGATCGGATAAAGGTCAGACATATAGAGAGAAAATGCAAAGGCAAAACTACGAAAAAGAGACAATCCAGGGACAATTTTTGTTATCTCAGTAAGGGTCATGAAACTAAATTGTCAAGGAACATCTATTAATAAAGGCGGACTTGGTAGTATTATTCTGCCTTCGTTGGGCGTGTTCCATTTGGCGGTTAGAGAAAGGTAATCCTAATTGATTGAGCTAAACGAGTTAATGTTACGTGATTTAGATTTTTAACTTGGCTTTTAGCAATTTTCCAGTCACATCGCTTCGATGTCTGCAATGTGTTACGTATCGGCTCCTTGAAAGTAACAGACGAAAATAGAAGAGACAACAAGCTTTGTAAGTTTTAACAAAGATAATTTTATTTCCCTAGAAAACACGGTAAAACAGGTGAAAATATTAAACAGAACTTACAGTTTGTGAATAAAAATCCAAAACATTTATCCTAGATTTGTGATTATATACGAGTCCTATTAAAAAAATATTCTGGGTCTTGTTTGAAACTTAAGTTGTTTCAAAGATGGAGGATGGTGATGTCAGATAAAGTTTTTACACAAATGTTCATAATTTCACGTTAAACCACAATTTTTACTGTACTGTTCCAATTTAGAATGAATTTCACTGAATGTTTTTATCCTAAACCACTTGTTCTCCACGAAATAAATTATTATTCAAAAGTTAGATGAACTTTAATAGCTGTCATCTATAACAAAGCACATCTCTAGATTTATAGGCGTAATGTAGATTGATCTCTTTCCGGCACAAGAAAGAAAAATACCCGTCTTCAAGGTATATTATGTAACTCACTCCAGCACACTAATTATAACTTCTTTTCAAGGTATAAAAACGACTCTTTAAGGCATCTAAGAGAGATATTATATGACGACCGATACAGCTGAGAGATAGTTTACTGCCTTTTTCACAGGGACCTAAGTCTACTTAATCTAAAATAAAACGTCATTACATGCTGCAAGCGCAGGGAGGAAACGTGTTTTTTTTCATCATTTAACAATTGTATTTACACGATATAAACAAATATACTAAGAAAGGCCTTGGCCACAGCCAATCGTTTACGTCGTTTGTTTATCAAACTCGGCTATCTAAACAAATCTTACGAAAGCCATGAAACATATTTACGTTCTAACTAAACAAAGTCGTACGGAAATATCAGTTCCCGTGAACAATAATCATCATCACAATAAAACACAATGATACAAAAGTGAAATTAAAAGAATTCAAATTTAACACACAATTAGTTAAAATGCATGGTTGTAACAATTGTGACAATTTATGGTGATGTCAAGCACTGGGGCATCATGCCACAGAAACGTGGCATGATATCCCACCTAGTCATATATTCCTAACAACATCCGACCAGTCCTAACACTAGCCTCTTAATGCTGAGCGCCATTCGGCCGGGTATCGAACCCGCAAACTCCCGCATCGGAGGCAGAAGCTCTAACCACCAGGCCACCGGAGCGGTTAAACGAGTTATTGTGTTTTCTAGACAAAATTCAATGTTTTAAGTAACTTTAATTGAAAAATTGTACTGTCCAATGTTTTCTGCAGAAAGGAAAGTCTGAGGGACTCCGAGGAAATTAGAAATTTATTTTTCTCCCCTTAAATAAATTCTGCAATGGATGGGGTTCTGGAAGAATCTGTGAGAGATAGAGAGAGAGAGAGAGAGAGAGAGAGAGAGAGAGAGAGAGAGAGAGAGAGAGAGAGAGAGAGAGAGAGAGAGAGAGAGAGAAGAAAAGAGAGAGAAAGAGAGAGAGAGAAAGAGAGAGAGAGAGACAGAGACAGAGACAGAGAGAGACACACACAGACAGACACATAGAACAATTTGTTGCATTTATTCATTTTTAATTCTAGGGATACAATGTTTTTGCACCAATAGTTGCCCAGCTTTCATTAGATTTCTTGAACCTTGGTAGTTATCCCATGAAAATGTGCAATATCAACAAATCAATCTGCCCTCGCAATCGTTGCCTTTGTTCATCTTGTAATCATGCTTGAGTCAATCATGTCTGTACACTAAACCCTTTTGTTTGTAACAGGATGCTATGAAACTTAACAATTTTGATGGTTATCATCCAAAGTCGTTTATGTCGATAAATCACCTTGTTTCTGCAATCTTACCAATTTTTCGTGTGACCTAATGAACTAGTCACGCTTTTTTTGTCTTTGATTTTTTTTTATTTGGTTGATCGCTGTATCTTGCATGGTCGTCATCTAATGATATCGACCAATTATTGTATTCAAACTATTTCAGCAGTTGTATGTTCATATAAATATAAACATATCGGTAACTCTTTATGTCCCATTGATTGTTTGTTTGAGTCATTGACTTTGATATTCGGCTGGATCCATTACTGTACAGAAATATAGTAAATGCAGATACTCTGCATATTTTAATGAATTATAATCAATTGTAGACATCATCAGAAAATATACATATCACACCATTTATTATACTCAAATTATTTTTAGAAGTTCTATATTTTTATTACTGTAGATTCACATATAACATGGGTTAGGAGTGGTATGCAGGACATGTGTGGGTTTATTTATGTCAGCAAATTGCCTACCTCCACCCCCCCCTCTAGTTGCTCACTGTTTTCTGTAAATCTTAATCTTGAAGTCTCTATATTGACTGTTATAAAGCGATTTTTGGTGTTACAGAGATTTTGGTTTATTTTATTTGGGTACCTTGATTCTAATCGAGCGTGCACATGAGCTGAAAGACAAGTTAAAAAGTAAACAGCTAGAAAGAAATACATGCCTAATAGAGAAACAAAGTTGTGTGACATATAAGGATGACAAATGTTCATTTGATAAGATTCTGTGGACTTTCGTGCAATAAAACCGGGAGTATCCACTTTATTGTAAAGAATTTTAAAATCATTTCATGTGTCTTTCTTCTAACATGTGCTTTAAATCTAAAAGTCTGTCTGTTATTTGTATTTACATGTCACTAAGATTTCTTCCGTCGTAGTTTCCATATTATCCCACCAAACCAAAGTGTCCCACTCATTTCTAAATCGACATAACGCATTACAAAAATAGGTTAGTTAATAATCGATGTTAACAGTCATTTAAAATCAAAGGAATGTAAATAGCATGCTATCGACAATTGCTGTTTGATGCTGTTTGAACAGAGTGCAAAATTACTCTGAATGCGACAAAAGCAAATATAAACGGCATACAGTTGTTATGAGCGAGACCCTTAAATATCACACCTGCAAATTTTTACTTAAGGACACTATGAAACCACTCCCTGAATGCCAACATTGAAATAATATGTAGTTAACGTCAAATGGAAACTATTCACGTTCTGCTTTCAATTGCATTTCTACGTGTATTGATTATAATTCTCCAGACACTGATAATCTATGTGAATTATCATCTTCACAAAAAGTACTCATTTTTGTTCCTCTCTCTCTCTCTCTCTCTCTCTCTCTCTCTCTCTCTCTCTCTCTCTCTCTCTCTCTCTCTCTCTCTCTCTCTCTCTCTCTCTCTCTCTCTCTTTTGCGACAGAAGATGTTAATGTTTAAAAATCCATCCTATGAAAATACACGTTGACTGGCCAGCCACTATACCAACTGATTGTGACACAAATCAACATAAGACAGAAAACCTACAATTTGATTACACAAAAGGAAGGATGTAAAATAAATATGAAACAAAAGTGATACCACGTGTAGAGAGATGTCACGGCTGGGATTATAAATATTCCGTTTACCTGGAAAAAGCCAGATGGAGTCCAAGATTTTAAAACCTTCCGTTAGAGGTTCCAGATTATTAGTTTAGTTTATTTGAATGAGCAATTTTGAGGAGGGAATCTTTCGTTTGCATGTACATTGTAAAGACACAAGTGCAGCTCTATAAACCATTTTACATTTTCACTGAGAAATAAAATTAATGGACGCTATTCGAATGAGATCCAAATAAGTCAAGGAGAATCCGTATCGTTTATAAAAAGGATTCCTCGTCGTGTTACATGCACCTAGTCAAAATCGACTGCATATAGGAGAAGACAAAAAGAGAAGACTTTAAATTTTGGCTTACATTAAAGAGACATCATCGTAATGCCAGTATTATTTTCTTTACTAATTTTACTTCAATATAGTAATGGCCATCGCATTATCGACTCATTTGCTTATTTGGTGTCTTTTCAAAGCTCAAGTTATAAAGCAAGGTCAAATATGTTGGCAAAAATAATTAGTATGAACCCTTCAGAATTATGTTAATTATGATGTCAATCGTCATGTATGTATCTACCAATCGTTTTAAAACCGACCACTTCTAATTATTTGTATTATGTACGAATTTATTCTAAGAGAGGTTTAAATAAGGAGGTCCCGTTATTTACGTCAATGACAGTGCGTTTGTATGTCTTAAAATCAGTCTTGAAGAAGTGTCCTGATGGTATACTATGAAATCACTACCCGGAATAATGTATATATAACACTAGGTACACAGGGTCTCAGGACAAGGAATTATATATAACATAATCTAGCTTTGACGCAGTTGGCCGGTCCTAGAATGGATAAACAAACTAAGACTGAGATTAACTTGAATCCAGGTGGAAGTGGATCTATATGATGTGTCGTTTGTGTCAATGATGGTATATAATACTGGCGATAAAATAAATAAACCTAAAATACCAAAAATACCAATAGACAAGCAAGCAAAAGAGAGATGCAGTGAGTTCGTATATGAGAAAAAGATAACCTTAAAGAAAATGACCCTTTCAATATCTAGAAGTACTTGTGTGGGCTTTTTCTCATAAGGTCATCGATCGCTGATTATCTTTTCTTCCTCTTCTCTGCACTTCATCTTCCTTTTTATGATGATGCAATCCAGCCTATATCTAAAGAGACATCTACTTCTACCCCGTCTATGTCTTCTACTGCTATTGCTTTTCCAGCAGCTACTGCTGCATCGAAAATGGTGGGATACCTTAAGAAAATGTGCAAGACAGAACAGACATGGTACAAAGTCTGCTGAATGCTTTACAACGAAAAGGGGCTGGTTTTATCTATTGGCATCAACCCGCCAACAAAGATAGATGAAGTCAAGTTGGTAGTTCGTTTCTATAATCAAATGAGACTCACGTTACTTTCTATGGGACAAAATGTGTTTGCCGCTCAAATTCGCACTAGTGTCAATGTCAAAGGATATCAGCTAAAATGCTTAAACAGACTAATCCTTCTTATTTACCTAAACACTATGATGTCTTGTCAGTATTTTCAATGAATGCTCAAAAGATTTTAGGAAGACAACAAATAATTCATATAGTTCCTTAAGAATGCACCAGTTTGTGAATCTGTTCTAATACTAAAGGTTTCCTTGACCAAGATACAGAAACAGCCATTAAGGCGATATCGTCAAGTTCTTCGCTAAATGATGGAAAAGAAAATTCCAGTCGGCCAAATGAATAAAAAATGGAGATTTCTTACCATGTTGATAGGTTCATTTTTAAAAGTTGCTTCTACCTTGGACTTCCTTCATGGGTAGTCTTGGAGGGTCTATAAAACGGGCAGAGCATTCTTGAAGGAGACAACACATGCTACCCTGAATGTTAAGGAAGAAGCAGAATTATAATTACTTTCTTACAAGAGTTGAATGCAATTTTATCACTGCAACGAGAAATGAGTATCGCAAATACCTGCCGATCTTAATTTCGTAGAGATTTCAGCTAGTCTTACAGGCATTGACATATCGAATATATTTGTTAGAAAAGACAATTTCGCAATGTTACGATCAATTATTGCAGAGTCTTTAACCATTATATCAAAAAGTTTTAGACATTTCTTGACATGTCATGAAAATGGAAGAAAGTCAAAAGGTATCAGCAGTTCCAAATAAGCAACCACAGACATGAAAGACAATGAAAAACGAGAATCAATATAAAAGTCTGAAACATCTTATTACTGAAACGCACAAATAAACACATATGTTCTGGCTTTTTGTGTTTTTTTATGCTTAAACCGCCTTAATCCAGCGAATATTAAAATAAAATTATTGAATGGAACAAATTGACATCTGAACGGAGCTATATAATAGAACAATTAAAGCCTTGCTTGTTTGAATTGCGGGATTGGTTTTTCAGTAAGACGCGCAAGGATAAACGTTCAGCAGATATGTTAATGTAGGCTTTAATGGAGGAAACGACAAAGCCGGGCCAAGCCATATGCAAATTTTGGGACAATCTTGGTCCCCTTGAAATAGATATCACAAAATCATAATTTCTAGAATATTTATTAGTTAAAGCGGACTTGAAAGAATTATTATGGGTGTGAGATTTATGGCGGTTATAGAAGGTTAATCCGGATTGGCTAAGCGAAACGGTGGGTGTATGTTTCCAGACGAAATTCAAGGATTTAAGTAATAACCTTGCGACATTCGGCAGTCCTTGTTTTCCTCCCAAAACTGAAGTATCAGGGGTCCGAAAAAAATAATAAGTAATTTCTTTCC